CTGTGTGTTTCACGCAGTTGTATTTTTATACACCTGTGTGTTTCACGCAGTTGCATTTTGATACGCCTGCGCGTTTCACGCAGTTGAAGTTTTATAGACCTGTGTGTTTCACGCAGTTGAAGTTTTACACACCTGTGTGTTTCACGCAGTTGCATTTTTATACGCCTGTGTGTTTCACGCAGTTGTATTTTTATACACCTGTGTGTTTCACGCAGTAGCATTTTGATACGCCTGTGTGTTTCACGCAGTTAAAGTTTTATACACCTGCGTGTTTATACACACAGGAGTGTGAAATACACAGGAGTATCTGNACACACAGTAGTATGAAACTTCAACTGCGTGAAATACACAGCAGTATGAAAATTCGGCTGCGTGAAACACACAAACTTCACGCATGCGTGGAGTGTATGGAGTGTACGGGAGTGATTCACGCAATGGTGCGAATAGTCACGGCCAAAATTGAATTCTATTGACTTTTTCTACTGAACATTTTCTACTGAACATTTCAATAGAATCGGCCAAAAACTAATAGAACAGTTCAATATAAATTCACTAGAATTTTCTAACGAATTCGATAGGTTTTTCCATAAAATTTTTTCGTCCGTGAATTTTCGGTGAAACCTGAAATTTCCTGATTTCCCCCCCAAATCGCCTTCAGTATTTCTGTCCTAAAAATCGGTAGTCAACTGTCCAAAAAAAATCATTTTTTTCCAACCGTCTAAGACAATACGTCCCATCCGCTGACAAATAATCCAAACCCATCAATCAATACCCGACAAGCAATACCACAAGTGACCAACAAAAATCCCCCCCCAAAAAACCAACCCCAAGAAAAACGTTTTTTCCACTGACAGCATGTTGATTTTAATTATTTAAGTCACCTGTCCAAACGGGAAAATAGATATACACCGCCGAGGAGTGAGAAATACTTTGGATAACTCATTCGATGTTTGAGATATGGAAAGCGCTCAAGGCATTTGTCGGCGTCGCAAAAGATGTATAAAGAATTATCGCTCACTTCTCAGCTTGCTCTCGCGCATTCTGCGGTGGAGAAAATGAGAAGGCCCGGGGGGTGGGGGGAGGGGGGCGGCTGCATGGACTCCCCTGAGAAATGATGATCGCCGGTGATACGTGAAGGGGGTACATGCACCAGAAGTACCTGGATTGGTTGCTGAATCAATATGGCCGGCGTGCATCAATCGAGGATATAATTGACAAGGTAATTGGCGCGCTTTCATATACACCCGAGCCGAGTGAGGCGCACGACGCGCATCCACAACGAGCGAGGGACCCTTTGAAATGCCGGGGGTTGGGAGGGGAAAAAGTAGTCAACCCACGAAATAAACGCATGTAGGGAAAGTTGAAGTCGTT